GGATTGGACAATTTATAACTTATACCTAAGATCTTCAATTCGCCCACTCGCTTGGGCGTAAGAGACAATACGATATTCTGTTTGTATGCTGGTTGCAACAGAATTGCATCTATAATGTCCGAATTGACCGGATTTGAACTATCAGTAGTAGTAGTTTTAGTTTCATTCGTGATAGTCTCGTTATTGCAAGTGAATGACCACAACAGAGTCACGTCTGATAGGGGTAGTGGGACGTGTAACGGATTGTGCAACTCGATGGAATAATGCACAGGTTCGTCTAAAACTGCATTGGGTTTTATGGAGTTATTACTTGTTCTAGAATACAATGCAATTGTCGGTTTAAATATCATAGGCGGAGATCCCTGCGCTTCAGTTATTAGCAATTCTTCCATTTTCGACCATCTTGCATCATCCGTCTCTTTGGTACTGAATGTGACGTGACTCGCTGGAATATTGCTTTCGGTTTGTTTACCCAACGGACCATACAGTACCTTGATATTGTCGTTATTCAATAGCGGCAAAGGTAAAATAGGAAGTACTGTACAACTCGTGCCGTTTTCCTGAAACAATAACTACACCACGGCCCTAGATAAAAGCCATCTAAGCTACCGATTCATTGTAATTGTCATTTATGTGACTGTATATTATACTCACGTTATGAGTATGTAAAAATTCTCGTAAAAACGCAGCCTGCTGTGGAGCGTGCTGTTTACTAGAAGCATTAAGTAACTTTTCAAATGCCTTTACCGCCTCAGAAACTTGTTTCAGGGATGCAGCCTGTCTCCCGATCGTGAAATGTATGTGATCTTCTGCCAAAGACCAGCCCCTTTCATAATATACCTAATATGCCATGTTTTGTTTATGAAATAACAAAGCTTCTTATAAAAGTTTCTAACAAAATATGATATTTTCACAGGAGACAATTATATGTTCGGATATCTACCTGATAAGCTTGTTGGTAACATCTTAAAGAGTGCTTTTTTTGGCCAGCTTTCGAAAATCTATGTCCAGCTAGAACCGCGTGAAAGGCATATTTGCGCATCATTTTCGGACCAATAAAGCAATAAGCAGCTTGCTCAAGCAATAAAGCTGAACGTAAATCGGAATCCTCGCTGGTCATCCGTATCAACTGCTTCGCGGCTTCTCCATACAATCCTCGACCCTTCAAACACTCGGCACTGAGTAGCGTCGCTCTTGTTGCAAACTGAGGCGTTTTACAGCTGTTTGCATAAGTCAATATTGCATCGTCCATGTATTCGATAGTCTTTCTGTTCGTCTCGCCTTGCATAAAAGCACTTAAAGCAGCCATTTCAAGAGCACCAGCGTAATACACCCAAGCCTGATCCGCTGCGAAATCGCGTTTCGCGCTGTGATATGCCTGATAAGCGAGCGAGTAGTGACTAAACATGAAAAACAGATCGCCCAAGCGTCGTAATTGTAATTCTGGCGATTCTGCTGTGTAACTAAAACATAAATGTATAAATTTTAAGAGTTACTAATCGTGTCAGGATAATATAATTAATTTCAAAATAAGAATCAAGATACTTGACTGAAAAAAGATCCTTTCCTCATAAAATATAAAGATTAATAAAACACAATTTTCTCTTACATTACAGCATTTGATGGCGCCGAACCTGGCACACCAGGCTTATTTGTACTAAACCACCTTTTCGTAGCGCTAAACAGCGATCTACTGACCCTCTTGTTTGAAATCACGTCATTCAATAGGCCAATCTGCTTTTCTACATAAGGAAACAAGCTCCGCAAACAAAATTCCGTTATTAATGTTCGTAATCTTTCTAAATCTTGGGTGGAAAGACGAGCACCGTGTTGAGCAACCACATGATTCGGAGAATCAGCCCAGACATTCGTATTCATTGGTGAGTTAGTATTAACAGACTGACTTTTGACATTAGTCGCTGAAATAAAGCTTAGTGATTTTTCATTATCTGGACTGAGTGGATGAATTGTAACTGGAACTGCTTCTTGTCCGACTTCTAGATTTGTATTTGCTGATTCGGATATTTCAGAGAGACTAATTGTATCGACTCCGGCGACTAACTCCGTCAAATCTGGAGATGGTAATGTAACACAGTTGTGTGGCATTAGCGGTGTCCCAGCTTGACTCGTTCTGTACAGAAATTGCTTTTACAGATTATATATTTCCAAAATTATGTTTACACAATAAGATCAAAGATAAAATAATTTGTTAATATATTTATAAAGTAATATATTAATAAATTGAAATTATTACAAATAATTATAAATTTATTATACAATTATAGATTTTAATCTCTAAAAGAACATACTTTTCAGTCTCTGTAGTCAGCTCGCTTGGCATAGCAGACACTCCACCTGTATCTGCAGGCGTACGAGGGGAACTATTTTGTTCATTATTACCAGCCAATTCCAAATGTTTTGTTAAGAACTGACTCCAAGGATCGGGCAAATGCGTATTGTCGTCGGAAAGACCAGGCGGTCTCGAATTCATTTGTAACAGAAAGCAATTATTAGCACCATAAATAGTTTTCATCTCTGTAAAAACTGTTTCTGCTCTGAAAAATAAATTTTATAAAGATATAAACATTTGTTTAGAAAGAAGAATTGATTTATTAATTTAGCATGCTTAAAAAAAAGCTGAAAATCATTTTCTCTTAAATGTATGCAAATTTAAAAAAGAAATAATGTACTTACTTATTTTTGTCATCCTGAATAGCATCGTGAACTAAGATGTAATATCTAAGAGCATTATTATTGAACCATTTAGGCAACTTTCCTGGTATACTTTGATGCAATTGTGCTCCCATAGTCTGAATTCGCTCTAATGGATTGTCCTCTGCTGTGGAAACAACTATCATACATGCGAGCAGATGCTTTGTGAATTCGTGATCTGATGGAAACTGGATGTTCAAAAACATTTCTCTCCATGCTTCAAACCAAGGAACGGAGATAGGAATATCCAATTCAGTCGCGCCGATATGAACTGTAGTTGTACGTTCACATAAGGCAGAACTGACCGCTTCGTTCAACAATTTTTTGGCAAGACTTGGTTCTGGTGGCCGCGTGTTAATATCTTGTATAGAAAGACGAAGATTTCTAATCGCTATCGTATTGCCTTGGGGATCCTTAAAGTGTCCTAATGGCACACATGCAAACAGACTTATTATATAATATGTAGTTCTGCCACAAACAACAAACCTATTTGTACAAGATGTACCAAACATCAAGCTCCATTAACAACTTATGTAAATTACATTTATCTTTCATTTTGGGACAATAAATACTCTGATTACAAATTAATATAGCTAATAGTAAAAATATCTCACACTATACTTACTATACTTATCTTACACTATACTTGTGTATTTGAAATCTTTTTATTTAAAGCATAGTTTTTGCAATAAAAATATATTTTATATTTTGTATTTCATCGGTCTACATAAAAGTATTACATATTTTGTATTTAAAGTTGAAAGATTGAAAGTTTCATGTATTTCGTAATTAAATAATAAGATCAATTGTCAATATCAGTATTTGAAATACAAAATATACTTTCAATCTTATTATTTCAATGTTATTACTATCAAAATACAATATACTTTTATGTACTCCCATGAAATATAAAAAATATTTTCATGCTTTGTGCTGAAATACAAAATACAAGATATAATTATCTTACCAGTACCACTTTTCAAATAAAAGTATTTCAAATATATACCCAGCCCTGATGTAATGCAAGTAATCGAATTTGCTATAACACACACTTACGTTACGTTGATTTATGTATGTTCAACGGCCTTGATGCACATTAATGCACGCAAAGTATGTTCAATCGAATTCGCTATTAATTAGTAGTTTCTTAATTGGTATACATATGGTCTGACTTTTGGTACACCCTGTACATATATAGTTTACGCACTAATGCGTGTGTATTGTATATCTTCGGCGAAGAACGGGTGATGTAGATGTCACGGGTCCCGGCTTACCTTCGGTGTTCAATTTGCAAAATGGCTGGAGTAATTCGACGAACGACAGATTATTCTTTTGACATGTGGCGTCGGCAGCGGCCGAGCAGACTACAGCGACCTGCGGAGAGAACGCGTTGCCGATGAACTCCCGCGGGGTTAACTTGCACTGTGCCATGATCCTTGCGCTTACGGGGTCGCCGTAACATAACCCGAAAGCTGTATCTCCTCACGCACGTATAGCAGCGGGCGTAGCGTGTTTACGCCGTTTTACCACCGATTCACGATCGTTCTACATTCCGCGATCACATCATTTCCAGCTCCTTCGTTATCTCGTGAGTCGACGTCGTGATGATGCCTCGGAATGACAACGCATCCCCGTGGACTCGCGCCGATAAACATATCCAGAATCCACCACTGAACTTCACCGAACAGCTGTTTTTCCTCCCTCTTCTCCTTCTTCCTTCGCCAATAATGTCCGCCATGGACAAGTAATTAAACGAGAATGGCTGCATTCAGCAGAAAAAGCAGCTTTGCTACCGTTGTAAAATTCTTTAATATGATTGGTCTTGCCCTTAGTTCCTCACTGAATCTAAATGTATAAACCAATTATTTAAAAATTTTACAACAGTGCAAAGCTGCTTTTTCTGCTGAAAAAAAAAACAGCCTTTAGCTGAACTTCTTGCACGATTTATCTTCGCCTTTTCCTTCAACGTGGAGAGAAAAGGAAGAAAGATGAACTGCGCAAGAATTTTAGTTAAAAAAAGAACAGTGTCCTTCTCAACATTTAAATGAACGCTCGCTGTTATTTGTGCATTCTTTTAGATCATCCAATCAAGTTTTAGATCTAGAAGAATACATCAATAGCTCAATAAAGCACTGTGTGGTGTGTGTGGACACAGGGCTTTACTCGGACACAGAAAAAGAACAGACCGAATAGCACAGTTGAGCGTAATTTCTGAACGCACCTCTATAAGTAAAAGTCTTCTCTTATCTCGAAGAAAAATCAATAATGTTCTCAATACGTCACACGATGTAATAATGCATATATAAGACTCACAGATACTTGTTGATTTTATCCGGCAAGTATTCTTACAAAAGTTTCATCAGGGGTAAGTATACGTGCGATACACGGCTTGTTGCGTTTATTGAAAGCTCCCCTTACATGTATTGTATTGCGATAACAATTATCGCATATAACACCGATAAGTGTTAATATTGATAAGTGTTGGTCTAATTGAGAGATAAAAGTGATAGCTGTCATTTGAGTAATTTCGATTTTTCCACATCATCTAGCGTGCATGCGACAAAATGTACAGTCATCTAATAACATTGTATTTCTGAAACTTGCATATAAAACGTCGCAGTATAGATAAGCAATCTACAAGTATGGAATTTAACGTGAAAATTTATTTTGTTATTATTTTATGTTACACACATTCCGAAATATCCTCTTCGAAGAAAATTTTACTCGAAATATATAGTACATGTAATTTATACTAGATATATCGAGGTAAAATTTTCTCCAGAGAGAACGTTTTGAAATGCTATTGTATGTGTAATTATTAACATTCTTACAGACGCCGATTTTCATATGTTTCTTATTTTCATTTTTTTTTATATGTGTAAAACTAAAGATATCTCCTACCATCTGCTTCTGTTTTTCATTTCACCTGTTGCTCCTAGATTAGTGTGAAAAAAAGTCATCGTTATTATTTGGACTTTATGCATAAAATGCAAATGTCGAATTATCCGTATGAATATGTAAGATGTATAGGTATGTTCACAACAGTCAAGAATTTCATAAAGTTGCTCAGTTGACAGAAAAGTGACATAAATACAAAAAATTAGCATTTTTGAGATAATGAGATCAACTATGAAAACTAATTTTTGTACAAAAACAAATATTATATCTTTTCTATAAATTAGTCTTTATTTATACAAAGAAGTTTTTCACAATGTAATATAAGGAATGCAAATTATACTATGCAGTGTTTGAATTTTGAGAACTCATGACTCATGACATAATTCTAAGAATTTTAACATTATTCTAATTCAGAATTTTAAAAGTGCTTTGTAAAATTGCTAATTTTGAGATGTGTCATATTTCTATCAAGTTACATAACTTTATATAACGTAAGACATTTATAGAATAAACTTAATATATGTTTGTCTTTATACATTGTAAGATTCATTTTATATATTATTTATGTATACTTATTTTTATAAACATTTTGTTATATTTATTAATATATTCATCAATATTTTTTTTTATTAATCAATATTTGATATATTTATTAACACTTATTAATATTTTTGTCATACAATGAGACATGAAACATTTTTAGATATGGAGCACATAAGAGAGTCACCCCAAATGCAATCTCACTCTCTGGAAGGTTTCATTCCCCTTCTTAGTCTTACTGAAGGATGTGGCGTGCTTCTTGTGATCTTGATGATTGTATGGACAGGATATTATAGAAATGGTTTTTCATGGAGATCTAATCTAAACCTCGAATTTAACTGGCATCCTTTATTAATGACTATAGGATTCGTATTTTTATATTCCAATGGTACAACATAAAAGTAAAAAACTTCCTTCATCATACATGTGCTTGTATATATATGATTTATGAAATATTGTTTTCTACTTGTAGCCATGCTTCTCTATAGGATGCAAAGAAATGTTCGTAAGCGACGACTAAAGTTAACTCACGCAGGAATTATGTTAGTTATCGTATTATTAGTGGTGATTGCTTTAGTAGCCGTCTTTGACAGCCACAATCTTGCACAGCCTCCTATATCGAATATGTATTCCCTGCACAGTTGGGTTGGATTGACCACTGTAATATTATTCTGCTGTCAGGTAAATTTATGGAACTTGCCTGACACTTTTGCATTCACAGACATGTGTGTCAACGTATCTTTATTTACAGTGGGTTGCTGGATGTGTATCCTTCCTTTACCCAGGATTGCAAGCTCCATTACGAGCTTCTTATATGCCGTTGCACGTATTTTTTGGCATTGCAGCCTTTGTGGGTGCAATTGCTTCTTGCTTGTTAGGACTCAATGAGAAAGCGTTCCTTACATTACAGTTAGTAGCAAAAGACATGTTCACAAACATGATAAGCACAATCAAAAAATATATTTTTCTATTTGGAATTTCAGTGAAAAATATTCAGCTTTAGTCAGCGAAGGAATACTGATAAACATTATAGGATTGCTGCTCGTGTTGTTTGGAGGCTTATCTGTATACTTAGTAACGCAGGAACGTTATCGGCGTTTGTCGAGATCTGAAGATGAAGTCTTGTTATCCGGCTAATATACGAATTATGATGAATTGCCAGATTTCTTCGATATAAGTAATCGAATGATTACTATTCCAAACTTAATAAGTATTTACTTAATAATAAGTATTTACAAGTTTCTTATGTGAGTCTTATGTTAGCTTTATAAATAAGGTTGATCTAATTAAAGCACATACACACAAAAAAAGAAATAATGGTGCATTTATGTCGGACAAAGCTGCTAGCCTATTTACTGAGCGATTGAACAATTGATTGGACAGTTGAAAAAAGTTCTCAATGTTTTTAAGAATATACAAGATCGGTCCATGGTGTTCAACTAAACAGATTTTCATGAAATCGCATTTGAGGTTTTCACGGGTATTTTCTTCAATTATACTAGAAGGTTTGCGAGTTGTCGCCGTCTTCATTATTGATGCCAATTAATAATAAAGAAAGATACGGCGACAACCCGCAAACCTTCTAGTATAATTTTCATGAAATTTTTACCAAACGTTCTACTAAGTTATAAAATTATACTGAGATAAAACGATTTTATGTAGAGATGATCAAGAGAAATAAAATAGAAACATGGGATATAGGATTGTGTTGTCCTTATTGATAATGTTTCTTTTCAGTGATTCTACTTATCAGTTCTTTAATTTTGTGAACTTTGTAGTGCGTTCTCTTAATCAATTGAATGGTGTACGAGTCCTTCCACACAGCACGCCTGACTGTTGACTGATAGTCGATATTTTTTTGTTGACTTTAAGTCAATATTTAGCAAACTATTAAAATAAGATTAAATGATTATCGGCTTATAGTCTTCTTGAAACTTCTCTGCTTGATCTTTCGACCCAAATTCAATATAGATTTTTTTCATTATTTTTTTTCAATATTTTAATTTATATAAAAAATATATAAAATTGTCTCAGAATTATTTATAAAATTAATACGAAAATTCTGAAATTATATAGAAATTTTGAAAAATTATGAGGAATTTTAAGAAAAATTTTCGTCGCGATAAAAATTAATTGTGTAAAATTGCTCAGTAAGCAAGCTAGTTGTCTTATAGTTTGAATATGACCAATGCTTTATTATATGTTTTTATATTCTAGTCTAAGTGTATAATTTTTAACTTTTTGATATTTTTATTAGATGAAAAAATTATATATATATATTTATATAATATGTTAATATTTATATATTATTTATATATTATTCAGAAGTAATTATTTTTCTAAAAATTGGTGCTATACATATACAATATATATGATATATATAAATATAATATATAACTGTTATGAACAATGTATATTTTGTGGCTCATATTTTTAATAATCATTTAATTGACAACTGATTGAAATGTAATATACAATACATATATGTATGTATAAATATGTAATACCAATATATGAGATCTCATCAGAAAAGTAATTTTAATTTATAGACACAATCGTTTACTAATAAGTCCCATGTTATCAATTTATGATTAATATAAATCTGATAAATGTTCGAAAAGCCAGTCACTCGTTTGTCACTCGCTTTTCGAAAGCGGTCGTTGCCCTTTTGTCTTTGTTCAGCTTATCGAATTATTTCCTAAAGTTTATATTGAAACAGAGACACGAAATTTGTTTTTTTTTTCTTGCATTGCCTTGCTGAAAAAAATCACATCACAAAGTTACATGATGAAGTCACATAATTAAAGTAAATCATGTAACGGATTGTTCCAAATAAATACATGATTTTTTAAAATCATATAATTCGAAAAATCACATGTTATAAATAATATCATTTTTACCATGTAATTTTATAATTATCAAATTTTAAAAAATTGAATGATAGAAATAGATGAATGCACCCGCACCCCTAGATATTTTCGCCCTCTGGAACTGCATTTCCGAATCAATCGACAGCGGTAACGGAAAACAAAAAAGAGACGTAACAAAAACTTTTCGCGCCGTCGTACCATGCGATGTAACGCGCGCATATAACATCGTGTCCCATTTAACTCGACGGAACACGCCCATTGCGCGCTTATGCAATTGTAAACATCGTCGAGTAACCATCACCGAATATTCTTCGCGACGCGTGTATGGGTACACGCGTACATCGCGTTGCATCGCATTTCCGGCTAGCTTCCACCAGCTTCGCGGCGCACGGCATTATAAGCGTTCCTCAATTGTCAGAGCCGTCAGACAAGGATTATCGCGCGAGCTGACAGCTGTGGCGTTTAGTCTTCGAAAATTCTTCTCGTCTTTCCTTCTTTTCTTACGCGAAAAGTACATCGGCGTGAGCGCTCGATAGTGCAGTAAAAATAATAAGTCATTCAATGGTTAACCAAATACCTGTGCCGCAGGCCAAGTATGAATTACTAACCAATATACGACAGTGAGTATCGAAAGCCTCTGCGAAATGAAAGCGCTCGGAAGGCGAATGCGTCGTACTTCGGAGCTGTTTTTATAATCATTTTATAATTAATACGTGCGAGAGAGGTGGGGTAAGTACGCGCAAAAGGAAAGAGAGAGAGAGATGAAAGAAATTTGTATCGATTTCTCGCGCTACGCGAACAGCATGTACGTCATTGCTGGTTTTTGAACTTCTCCGCCTCTCGACGCGAAAGGTCATATATGCTTGTCGTTATTTATATAAACGCGATTAGATTAACAGGTTTTCCATATCCGATTGCTTTGTATGTAGATTATTGTAGATAAAATACAATGTTTGATATAAAAATGCTTTTAGACCACGCTGGAGAACGCAGATTGTTTGCCTCACTTTGTCATTCCTGATTGTCGGGGTGCTATTTATTACGCGCGCTTGGTTCGGCATACTTACACTAAAGTCTTCAAGGACCAACAAATTCGTCGAGGAACACATTGACGATGCCAAGATTGCTACGTGGTTACGTCGGGCTCGGATGTACGCCGAGTCGACGAAGGAGAATCAGAATGCGGACAGGAACACAAGCGTCAGCGCATCGGAGCAACACCGCCATGATACAACCGGGTGAGAGCCTCTCTCAACAGATATGATATTCTTTATCTACTTTAGATTTATACATATCTAGTAAGCAGGGTATTAACATTATGCTAGCAGTTTATTATTCAGAATATTGCATCAGGTGAACATCAGAGTTGTATTTTGTTCATTATTTGTGTAATACATCTTTAATAACTTCACTGAATTTTTCTGCATGAATAATTTTAAATACTTAAAGCATTAATACAACATATTGAGATTTTTGTCATTATTTTTTAAATTCTAGTATTATACAATATCTAACAATAGAAAATAACAAATAAAGGAAATAAACTATAAAATATGTTTAATAAATATAAAATGTTTTAAATATATAATTTTCATATATATATATATAGTAAGTAAACAAATATATATATAAATTTAAAATATATATTTGAAGTATAATATTAATTTATTTGTAAAAATAATGGAATACATCTTAATTAAAGTCATTTAAATAGCTATACAAAATGGTATTCTGCGCATTTTCCGTAGTTAAATTGCCATTGTATTCAGTTAATAGATTTTGATGCATTTCTGCTGGCATTTGTTGATCAAAATCTGTGACAGACTCTGTACAATCAGTTTTTTTTTTTTTACATATTTGACTATCCAGCTATCTAGGTTTATGTTATTTGGAAATCTATTCTATGTTTAGCCAGGTCCTCGTATGCTACTATACAATACCGGGGGACCTGAACACGTCGTGGGAGCTCAGTCCGTCGCACATTGACCCTCATATTTGTACGCATATTATCGTGGGTTTTGCGAGCGTGGTGAACAATATGCTCGACATAGGCGACAATGCACCGGTTTACGAGCGAGTAGTTGCTTTAAAAAATCTTGAACCTAACTTGAAGGTCATGATCAGCGCCGGCGGAAACAACGAGCTCCACAATGGTTTCTCCAAAATGGTAAAAAATCATGCGAATAGAAAAAGGTATGACCATCTTGTCATGCTCGCTTTCCATTTCAATATATATTGTAGATATACAAATATTATAAACGTATCCCTATGTTCAGATTTATCCAGTCAGTATTAAATATTACCAAAACCTTCCATTTGGACGGTTTTGACGTTGATTGGGAGTTTCCAGCCTGGTTAGGGGCGGACGAACGTGAAAAAATACACTTTGCCCAGTTGTTACAAGAGCTACGAAAAGAATTTGATCGTAGTGGACAAAAATTGATTTTAACAGTAGCAGTTGCAGCGCCACAGGCCATTGTGGACCAAAGTTATAGCATTCCTGAAATGGCAGAGTATGTACTGTACAAGAATATTGAGAATTATGAAATATCATAAAATAATATTACAAATTATGTTATATTTTTCAGGCACATTGACTTTATAAACCTTATGTCATATGACTATCATTTCTACGTTTGGTACTTTCCAGTGACAGATCTAAATGCCCCACTCTTTCCTCGTCATACGGAAACAGGCTACTTATCCACATTAAATATAAATTTCTCTGCTCACTATTGGATAGCAAAGGGAATGCCACGAGAAAAGATTGTTATCGGTATACCGGCTTATGGTCATACATACAAACTGGACAATCCATTGAATCATGGTATACAAGCGCCAGCTAACGGATTCGGAAAGCTTGGCGTAAAAGGCTTTGTGTCTTATCCTACGATTTGTCAATTTTTAAAATCCGGAGCTGGGGGCTTTTTTAATGAAGAAAGTCGTGTGCCATATGCGTTCAAAGGCACAGAATGGATATCTTATGACGATGAGGAGAGCGTTTCTTACAAGGTAACGCGTTTTACATTGCTAACACAAAATCAAGTGTTAACAGATTTGTAAAATAATGCTAACAGATTTATAAAATGTGATGTGTGATGTAACATACAATGATGTAAGCTCAATTAAAATGTTTACATTGCAGAGCATGTGGATTCGTACTAATGGTTTCAAGGGAGCCATGATTCTATCTTTAAACGTTGACGATTGGAACGGCACTTGCTATACAAATGAGACATTTCCTTTGACACGCACAATCTCGAAATTATTATTTAAGAAGTCAGACAAGTAATAAAATAGGAATACTTGAAATATGCGCAATTATTAAACGAGTTCAAGACGGTAAAGGGACATATGCTTGCTGAATGATTGAATATGATTGGTTGGTATCAATTATGTTTGTTTGCTCGTCGAGCAGGCTTTAGCCGCTTTGTCAACTTGAACGCGCTCATTGAATCTAGTTATTCCTAAAGCTTAAGATATTTTACATTTAAATGATCCATTCCATCGCATTCCTATTTAATATTACTTGATATACATTCTACCTCAGTTGCTCAAAAATTCTTTTGTTTTTTAACAATTAAATTGCTAAGATATTTGAAGCACAGTATTATTATATATGCTGTAATAGAGCATAGCACTTGTACCTGGTTGAGTCGAATAAAAAATATTCGCGAAAATATTTACGCACGTTAAATTGTATTATATATTATACAAAGGTACATGTTTCCTACATGATATTATTTATACATGCTTCACAAGCAAATGGTACTTGCGTAATAATTCTAAGATATTCTCTAGCAAATTTTAAAAGGAGATACTGTAACTGTCTCGAAAATGCCATATTATTCACAATAAATAAGTGTACAACAGTCATCCGTTTCAGAGTAAGACTTTAAATTCGTAAATAGTAAATTTTATTTTTTTAAGTACTACATATATAGATAAGAAAATTATTGTTATAATTATTCAAACCATGTTAACTGATCTCGTTATACCAATGTCACAAAGTATGAAATATATGAAACTGTTTTGCCCGAAATTTATAAAAACAATTGCATTACTAATTTTTATTTCTTTATAATACATACATTCCTTTATATGTAGATATATTTACATTGATAATTATATATACATTTATCACCTGTACTTTTATTATTTGATTACGGTAATAACAATATCCAATTGAAATTTTTTCCCATAGTTCGATTATCTAATATTAAAAGAACAATGAAAATAACAAGCTTCTTTATAAATATCGTTTAACAAAATGTACGATACAAGGATAGATGAGAGGACTATGAACAATATCGAAATAAATTAGCTTTCTCTTATGACACGTATTTCATAGCGTATTTTGATAATTTATTGCATTACATTCAAAGATATTTACGATTCGATGAGCGATAAAAAAACGATAGAAAGATATTTAAAGAGTTTACTATCAACGTCGCTACACATCATTTCCATGATTCCATTACTTATAAAACGCATGTGTATGAAAACAAAAGTTTTTAAATACAATTTCTCCGGTATTGTAACTTAGGTACGATGTAACTTTTCCACGAGATGTATGTGATGGCATTTAACGTCCTTATCTCTCTCGACAGTGTACGCACTGCCTGGAACCTCATCTCAGGATTTACCACCGCAACCTCCCATTAAGTTTCCCAATCCACCTGCTGCGCCCTGTTGTAACTGTTTCATTATATTTTGCAATCCTGGCATACCACCTAAAATAATTATGATAAAGATATATTGTATCTATAGAAAATGGTCAAACTCTGTAAAGTTCGAATTAAATAAAGAAACAATACGCGCGAAAAGCATAATATAAAAGACATTTCCTATTTTTAAGATACTACATTGAATAAAATATTTTTACTTTAAAAACAAAATTTATAAAGAACTAGCATAAAACTGCTTTTAAATTATTAAAAATTTCAATTTATATATAAAATTCTTACCCATTTGATGTAATACACGTGGATCCATCATTTTAGCCATTTGATGATTTAGTTTCGCCATTTGTGTAGGATTAACGTTTTTCGCCAGATCTCCCGCCTTGAACAAACCTTTTATGCCTCCCATTTTCTTAACAACCGCTGCGAATTTTGTATATTGCGTAATTAAATCTTTGACCTCTTTTTCTGTCACACCAGAACCCCTTGCCACTCTTATTATCCTTCCAGTTTGTTTACTGAATAACTTAGCTCCATCTCTACTGTCCAGCTCTGAAATAAAGACATGAACGTTATTGAGAAATTAGATAAATTATCACAAAAATCTGTAGCGATCGTGGCCAAAGATTCAAGAGTTCAAATTCATCCATAACAATTTTATTTGATCGCCATCTTGGAGAACAATGGCAAACCTCCGAAAGTTCATTGCCATAGCCGTTCGGATTCGACACAAAAAACATGAGGGAAACATTTTAAACAAACCTGAATCATTCATACTATCCATGATAGTCATGAGGCGTTTTAATCTTGCCATTGATTCTTGCTCTGTCCCTCTCGACATAAAATCTTGACTAAATCCAGGAATCATATTCTATATATACAATAAAATTTTAAAAGAATATTGTATATTATTTTTGTATACATATATATACATATATACAAGTTATTTATTATCATTTACCATTAGTTGTGAAAATGGTCCCATCTTCATGATATTTTGGAACTGTTCATACATGTCTCGTAAGGTAAATTGACCATGTTTGATTTTTTCAAGTAATTCCTCGTTATCGTCTAGATTGAGCTCATTTACTTTGTCAATAAGACCTTCAATGTCTCCCATACCTAACAACTTGCTAATGAATGGTTTTGTTTTAAATGGTTCTAGATCGTCTATATGTTCTCCAGTACCAACAAATATTACAGGACTTTGTGTCGCTGCAACACTGAAAAAATTATATATATAAAACAATATATTATAGTATATATATGTTACAATATATGTAACACATAATCAGGGAATGGAAAGTTACTTTTTAAAAGTAACTAGTTACAGTTACTCGTTACCGAGTAAAAAATGTAACTAGTTACAGTTACAGTTATCGCTTTTTAAAAGTAACTCGTTACAGTTACCGTTACTTGAAAAATAACTTTTCGTTACTTTTCCGTTACTTTTTTAAAATCAATTTAAAAATGTACTTTTGCATTTTTTTTTTATATGTAATACTGACAAATATATAGTTTTATTAAAAAAAAAAACAATGTAGAATGGCTCAAATAATAAATTAAATAAAAGTAAAATGAGAAGGGTTACGAGCCAAAAATGAAACAGTTTATTTCTGATAAGAACGACGATGACAATGTAATTAAATGTATAAATATATATTAGAACAAAACAAAGATAAAAACAAACGACGTTTCGACACTTATTGTCATCGTCTTTTAAACTGTTTCGCTTTTGGGTTCATAGCCCTTCTCATTTTACTATTATTTAATTTATTTTTTAATTTTTTTTAAACACAATTTTGTAATTCTAATACCTGTAAAATATGCAGCAAACTGAAATATTTGTATGTCCTATGTATTACATAGAAGATAGAAGTGTAAAATAATTACTGAATCATAACGGCCGAATGTCTATAAGGGTTTCAAGTCTTATTGATAAGCGTTATAAATAGCATGTATCCAATCGAACCGTGTTCAATCGTGTGCAAAGTAACGACAAAAGTAACTGTAAATTTCGTTACAGTTACCCAAAAAATGTAACTCGTTACCGTTACAGTTACCAAAAAAAGAAAGTAACGCAGTTACCAGTAAAGTTACCAAAAAAGTAACTTGTAACTGTAACTTCGTTACAAGTAACGAGTTACTTCCATTCCCTGCACATAATACATATATATTGTGTGTATGTGTATGTGTGTGTCTATGTGTGCGCGCGCGTATATTATATTGATTATATGCTATTGTTTATGTGCTAGAAGTAAATTTACAATAAAATAACTGCATTTTTTGGTTTACATGAATATCTCACAAGAGTACATAAAATGATTAAACTAGAATAAAAAGAACTTACGCGGAAAGTGCTCCACCACCTTTAGCATGGCCATCTAACTTTGTGATTATGATAGAACCAACATTAACGCGTTCTTTAAAAGCTTTTGCCTGTGCTTCACACGCTTGACCTATCGTTGCATCCATTACAAAAATTATATTGTCTGGTTGCTGGAATATGTGAAGACTTAGCATTTAGAAGTTCTTTTCTTTGTGCATTATTTTTTTAAAAAGTACTATAATTTTACCACAGCATTGGCGACTTGCAACATTTCCTCGAACAATGACTCTTCCTGTTTATGTCTTCCACTTGTATCTACAATAATGATCTCGTATCCTTCCTTCTTAAACATATCGACACCGTCTTGTGCAATTGTCACAGGATCCACTTCTGTATAACTAAATTTAGAAATTATTAGCATAATACGAAAACTATGTAGTATAATATTGTAGATTGCAATAAATATTTTTTGTTCCATCTCTATTTACCTTCCGTAAAATGGTATTCTAGCTTTCGTGGCATTCTGTTTTATCTGATCGTATGCACCAGCACGAAAAGTATCAGCGCATACTAAGCATGCTTTCCAATTTTTTTTAAGATAGTGATACGCAAGTTTGGTACAAGTTGTTGTTTTACCGGATCCTTGTAATCCAACAAACATAATTATGTTAGGACGGCCTTTCACTGGTTGATAAGCTTTGACACCAGGATCAATCAACTAAAAAAGTCATCAGTTAAAAGAATTGTCAGTTTATTTTCAATTACTGAGAAATATACTTTTACATTTCGATTTTTATAAAAAATCAAAGAATAAACCAACCTTCACAAGTTCTTTGAATACTGCACTCTGTATCATCCTCCTTTTATTAATACCACCAGCCATATCATCAAAATCGATAACTTTACGTACATTTTCTCGTAATTGTTTTACTAATCTAATATTTACATCAGCTTCAAGTAAAGCTGCACATATCTCTTTTAGCATAGAATTTAAAACCTGTCGATATAATAATGTTAGTCAATAAAACTGTACGACACAGATCTAATTCTTTTCATTTAGTAGCACAAATCAATATAAGTATCATTCTATCTTTCTTTGACATTCAAAACGGACATACATTTGTTTCACTTTAATTTATTGCACTGTGTATCAATTTAGAGTACAGAAATAAAAAGCAGATCTTTAATGGGAAACAAAGATAAAATGACACTTTTATCAACTTGTGTCACCAAATGGAAAGTATCCAATTATATTAAAAGAATAAAATATACAATATAAACAACAACAATATATAGAAAATCAAAAGAATTTTAATAAACAAAATTATTTCTGAAAAAAAATAATAGAAAGATAATCTTCTAAAATTCATTGCATCTTTTTATTACAGCTTACAATATTGTCGGTGTTCTCGAATAAATGAGAAATTCAAGCTATAGTGTAAACATAAGTTTGACATGTACAACAATATTGTTGGAAATAAATGGAATTTTTCAAGCGCGCTATATAAAAATGAGGGAAATAACGTCGACTACATACGGAATCGTGTTATTCAAGTTTTTTTTTGTTTATAAATCATCCTTGACGGAATTGTTTCACGTGTATTGCGGATAGGTTGATAAATAAACTCACCTCCTCGTTGATGACGGTCGCATTGCTGAGCGACCGCAGAGCGGACGTAATCTTACGTCCGAGATCCGCCAACACCATGTTTGGACGTTTAAACCACGAAGAGCCGTAAAAATAATTACGTACTCCCAATTCACGATTAGCGGTTAGGATATTAATGTATAAAGTCTGTCATCACGTCCCGACTTGGCCAACACAGCATGACGACACATCCGGTCGCGAGAGAGCGATCACGCGAAGAAGCGACAGATGTGTCCCGACCTTTTTGTGCGATGCGAGTACCTGGTTGTGGCTTATCTCCCATTCGCCGTCAGCAGTCCTCCGTCAGAAAATACGTACAATTTGTTTATACATAACCGACGAGATCCCGTATGTTGCCACCGTCCATATCGATCAGGTGCACTCGTACCTGCTTGTACCTACACTCGGCGCGATGCACGATCTGTCTGTACTCCTCGCATTTCAAGTCAGTCACTTCCGGATACGGGAAATACAATGGATGTATTCAGAAGCATGATCGCTTAGTAGCTCTTATACCTGTTGGTGTATATTTTTATATCTAATGGAATATGCCTATCAGAACGCTCAGTGAGACAAGTGAGCAATCGTGCTTCTAGATGCATCCAATAGCAGCGTTTAGCAGATTCAACAATCGAGCGCTATTATTGGTGTATCCTTCTAGATCATCCAATCAGACTTTTGAGATTAACAAATGATGTTGTAGGTCGGGTAGCGCGCATTTACATCGAAATTACAGGCGGCCTATTTCAGATCAGGTCACCAAAAACCGAAGCCTGGCTTACAGCCAGGCCAGGTCATTTTTCAAGTGTTTACAGCGAGGGACCTAAATAATTAAGGTCGAATTTGGGGTATAGGCTGCAGCCTAAATTGACGCCTTGACGGTGTAAACGTAGCCATTGGATATCGCTCGTTGTGTTTTTAATGAAAAATTGAACTGCGTATGCATGTAATTACCCAATGTGGGTAAAAAATTTATTTTTTCTACAAAAATTACAACTGTAACGAAATTTAAAAAAACCAAAATCCATCTGAGATTACTTTTCTCCAAGAGATTAAAATCCAGCTCGGGTTATATTACTATAATAACAATCTATACTTATGTACCATTCGTCTTATTTGAAATTTAGTTTCGGTATTTTTTACTCGCATACAAAATATTTTTGTTAGACAAATATATTTTCATTATACAAATATCATTTATATTGTAGGAAATGAACTCTTACAATATAAAGGCAATTATTACTTTGCCTCTTTTATTGAATTAGGAAATATAAGAAAATGAAACAAATTGTATAAGGATGATAGATTTACATAAAGCTGTAATGCAATAAATTTATTTATAATTATTCTAAATTCTCTAATAGAGTATATTAAAGTCTTAGGTTTATTAACATCGTTTGTATACAGAGGAACTTAAAATTTATGATTTTTTTAAATATAATTATGTTGCAAAAGACCACATTAATCAGGAAATTAGTCTATTTTACACTTTCCTCTTTTATGATTTTATTTTCATTAATCATATATTGAAGATAAAGTCATTTTATTCTTTTAAAACAACGCAACGTTATAATAATATATAAATTAATCAAAAAGAAATAGAACAGTACTATAAAAATTTGAATACTTATCTAATTTAAGTCTGACATCTCATCACTTTCAAATTTCCTTTTAATTTTATACAGTGATTCTATTGCTTTCATAATGTCTCAAACGTGCTCTAGAATCTTTGCCTCAAATCAATTTAAGCATCTTCTGTAATTCATTCTGGATGTCCTTGATTATACAATATTTGTTCTAAATTTTTGCATCTTCACGCAACCATTTCAAAATGTTATAATAAAAAAATCTGTTTATTTGTTGATTAGTAGAAACAAATTCTTGGTGCATAATCTCCTTGATGTTGAAACAACAATTAAGATGGCATTCATTGCGCTTCTGGCTTTCCTCGCTTTTTGGATCTTTACTCGCTGGATTTAGCATTGATTTATTTTTATTTTCCAAAATAAAATTGAAGCTCAAAAAGCGGCGTTTCAATAAAATAAAGAACATTTTAGACTGAATTGCAAAAGATGTTTAATATGATTTGAGACAGATTTCTAAAAAGTATTTGAAACGTGATAAGAGCGATGCAATCGTTATACAAATATAGAAGAAAATTACTTTGAAGAAGGGATGCCAAATTTAAATTAGACAAATATTCAAATTTTTACAGTCCAATTTCTTTTTGATTGATCCTTATATACATATGTGTGTGTGTGTGTGTGTGTGTTTGTTTGTGTTGTGTACATACTATATATTATATGTTGAAAATGAGGTATAGGTCAATGACTTTGCAGAAATAATGCAATGTCGAATGTGATAGTGAAATCTTATCTCATACTTTTTAGATGGACATGGCAGTTGAAAGAGAGAGACACGCATATAAATTTGCTTTTCTGATCAATGCGCATTCAATTTTTTACTGCTAAAGTGCCATTTCCAGGTGCTACTGACATTTCACCTCCTTGTGTACTGTCTCGTTGAGGACTCTATTATAACAAAAACACTTTTTAAATAGAACGATAAACGACATATTTTCTGAAAAAGTTTATATAGTTGATATACTAACAATGAGAAAATATAATTGCAAAAAAGTATACTTCACCTTCACGTGAATATGATGTTTTAACATTGCAGCTCTTAAGATCAACATACGAGTACGCCTCTGATAATCTTTTCCAACGCTCATAGACTTTTCAAAAGTGGTACTACGTTGATCGACATCTTTTGCATATAAAATCTATACATAATTTATAAATGTTAAAGATACCTATATGCATAGAAACATCAAACATTAGAACGTGCACAGTAATATATTTACTGAATGAATAATTTTACTGAAATGTATTGGATTCAATACACACTGCTAATGAAATCTTGTTTAATTATATAATGTAAATAAATATGAATGTTTAGTATTATATATCAGGATAGTGTATATATCAGAACATAATCTTTCTTAATTTATTATATTTTGCATTAAGCTTTTAGAAAATTTACAATCATGCATGATGCTCAATACTTTATGTTATCATGCAATGACACCTTAAGAAAAATATAATAAAATGCTATATGTAAATCAAGTGCCGCTTCTCACCTTGTTGTGTGAATCTATACGAGCCTGAATCTGACCATCAAGAATAAGTTGCATAAGCTCGTCTTCTAATTCGGATACAGTTCTATTGAATGCAGTTGCCATTCGTCTCATGTCCGCACTTAGGTAAGGACTAAAATATTGTATCAAGGCTCTATTCCGAATTTGTGTATACAACAGATTTACGTGAGGTGCTATGTACATATCCAAGAGAATATTATCCTTTATCTCGTCGAGCAGTTTCAAACAAGATGCATATTTTGATTCGTAAAATTTGAAAATTATATCTCGAAGTTGTGGTTCTAATTCTAGAAATAATTTGAAGGAACTACTAAATATAACTTGTTTTTGCAATTCATGTCTGTCAAAGGTTGCTAAAGCACAAAGTCCTCCATAAAGAGCTACATTTCCAGGGGATAGTAATTCAGGGCAGTCGCAATGGTCTAAAGATGCTTGTAAAAAATGTTTTGCAGCCATTTTATACTTTCTTGTTGCTAATTCTGCCAAGCCTGCTGCCACTTTTAATTTCGTGACTATTGCTTGATTGTTGTCTTTACCATGTAGTTCTGGAAAGTCTGGTGTACTTTCAGCCTTGGTGACATAACTAAGTACATGAGACCAATTTTGTAGATAAACAGAAACTTTGATTACATTCAAACACATGTTCACAACGTGCTTGCCACTAGTGCAATAATCCCGTGCTCTAGAGTAACATTTTAAAGCATGAACGAGATCGCCGCAATTCAAATAGTGATCTCCCAAATCGTCGTGACCTCTTCGTATGCTCTCCTTGATAGAGTTGCTCTTGTAATTCTTCAGATCAGTATCAAACTTTTCTAATTTAAGAGCAGCCTTCTTAGATCGAGTCTCTACCCATGTCTGATCCATCGTTGGCATATCTTGAGAGGTTGACTGTGCCGCTATATCTGGTAATCCAGGAGTAAAGCCCATAGCCTCCACAAGCTTTTTATGCAACATTACATAGAGTCCAACATTGTATGTAGTCATCACATAAGTAATCGCCATCTTTAATGCTTCTATTCGTAATGATGGACAATGATCAGCGATATATACAAGCCTGTGTAACTTTGCAAGTCCAGTGTAACTGTTGGCATATACCTCCAAGTCCTGATGAAAAAGGAAGGTAACATAATAATTATGGAATGAGATTGAATTTTCTGATTAATAAATATACCATTGTTTTTACATTAAACCGGTCCTTATACGTACCAGCGTTGGATTTTCTACTATATATGGTTCTTCCTCAGCATTATCATTATCCTCTGTAGGAGCATCAACCTGCATTGGCTCCACGACATTTTGCTGCAAATAATAAGATAAAGGGCAATACCATTCGGCTTACGGGAGTATTTCAATTCGAGAGGAATAATAATATAATAAAGAGATGTGTGTGCGAGTGAAGGTTGATTCTGGATAACCTTCAAGACAGTTTTTCTCCCTCGAGTCGCATGCGATCTCAAGGAAAATCGTTTGAGCCCGATCTCGACGGAATATTTACCTGAACGTCGTGAACTTGCAGCGGCATTGTTAGCCTTATCCGTTATATTGAAACAATAACTCCACGTATAGCTATCGTGACAGACAAAATTATACCGCTCGTAGAGGAATGAAATCTCTACCGCATACTATATAGTAGTATATAGTATATGTGAATCAAATATGAAACACGCACACACCATACGTATACATGTGTATGTATATATGTATGTACACGCGGAGCGTATAAGTATAAACCATGGTACATACATATACATAGATACAGTATACCAGTAGTCGGCATCTTTGATCGCAACGTGCCGGTCACGTGATCATTTGATATCTATTAATATCAGGGCCGAATAGAAAAGTGTCCTATCTATTTTCCAGTGATACTTATAAAATTGTTTGTGAATGTATGTACTACATACGAGGATATAAGTGCCTAGCCCATGTGCAATTGCACGCGTTCGGAGAAAGCACAAGAAAGGATGAGAAGAAAGTATGAGAAAGAATGAAGAAGTTATAAAAAGGTATGGCCAAATGTTTGCTCCGTGTGTATATAGTACATACGCTCCTATCATCTTGCATTTCATTGGTTCTGGTCCAAAACAAAAGCTGCGCAGCTATGTTTGCGCAAACATGCATTTTTTATGTTGGATTAAGGGCGAGTTTTTATGCGCAAATGCAGTGTTTATGGATTAAAATTAAATTTGCGCACAATGCGATTGATCAATCGATAAATTAAAAAGCTCATCCTATGTTACTCTACCTAGACATGAGAAATTTCACGTTGATTGGTCCGCCATGTTTCAGGAATTCCCGCCCTGTATTTGCATACCTATATTCGTGTTATTTTTAAATTTCTACAATATAATTAAAATTAGATACTTTCAAGATATTAACAAATCTTTCTTTTACAAAATTATTTAAAAAATTTAGAGATTTGATTATGTATCTTGAAACGAAGTTAAAATCGCGAAAATAAACAAGTTTACTGGAATATTTATAATTTTATTTTAGTACTTAATAGATTTAGCTAATAAATTCAGTTCTGTAATTTTCACACGTTTTAAGATGCACAATTGATACCTTAGTACGTATAAAGAAAAAGAAATAAAATTTGTTTATACTTTTAACATTTTACAAATTATTGTAAATAATTTATTTTACAAATTATATATTGTGTATCGTCATCGGTTATCATATTTTTTACTCATATATACGTATACATAACATATATGATACATGTGATCTGTCATGGCAAGTTTAGAATTAAGCTGAGTAAGGACCCTTTATAATAAGAGTCGCGATACGAGTCGATTTGTTCAATTTTCAAGCATTTGATATCGCCTAAAAGGATTGACTAGATAGACTAGATCTCAACTAGAAGGACATAGCAAAGTTCAATTATAATATATTTAAAAATAACCATATCGAATAGGATAAAAGATGCAGGATGATGAGATTTTTTAATGAAAAATTTTAACCTTTTTTTTATTGATAAATTGATGATGTTTTGAAGATGAGTTACTATAATTGGGCTCCGAGATAAAAGTTAATATACTCGTAAAGTTTTTTGACAGTTTTCAGACTTTGCTGATGACGACTCTTGTCTTTCTCTTTTTCCTAAAAATTTATATACAAGAAAAAAAGAATATTTTCAGAATTAATGCTCTGTGTAATATGCGATTGTATTGACGACGTCTGTTATATCAAATTGTATAGTCTACAATAGAAAAGTTATAGCGATGCGTTGATAGAAAATTGACAAATCATAATCAATTATTCTTCTCATATTCAACTGTGATTAATTTTCTACGACTTAAGTATTAAACTCAACGACCGTACTACTTCTATTGTAGGTAGACCCTGCGTTCGGGCGGTACATGTACGTATACAAATATACAAATAAAGCTACTATTATACATCTACTGGATGTCTTTGATGAGTAAATTGGCCCGGATCTTCATACAGACAAGAATGCTTTGACACCGAGAGCTTATCGGTAAAAAACCGATTGTAGGGAAAAAATTTACCACTTCTTCATCCTTTTTTTTTTTCAATCAGCGTTCGGTGTCAAAGTGCTGTTGTCCGTATGAGGATCCAGACTTACTTTACAAAACGGAAAAATACAACGTGTTGTGTGTATAACACTGTTTACTCCTTCTGTTCTTCATATCATACATTTATTCTGAAAAAATTCCTTTATAATGTTTCTCTTTGGAATTTTCTTATCATCGCGAGATTATTTACTGACGTGTTTCAACGATTTATAACGGCTAAAAAGGCTTCCTCCATCGAACGTTGTACAGAAACATTTTTAGGCGTTAGCATGATTTTCAAGTGCATTTGAATATGCGTGAGCTTAATTTCTCACATTATTGAAAACAATCGTAATAACTTCGCTAAAGTTGTAAATAAGTTTATTTACTGTACAGTGGCCAATAGGCACGAAATAAATAGCCGAAAGTCTAATTGTTTGAAATAATTGCGATTTCAATTCGGTGCATTGTCGAATCCTCCTCGATCCAGACATAAGAATCCAGAAGAACCTTATTGGTTTCCATGGTTGTCGAATCATCGCGTTGTTATTGTGGAATTTAATGACTCCCGTTTTTGTCTTGCTCGACGATTTTGAAACCAAATTTTAATCTGCAAACACAACAAAAAGTTCAAATTTTGATAGTCACTCAATCTTCATCGATATCCACTTTTTTATTTAGGGTCACTTTAACCAATTTCGATCAACTTAATCGGTCGATTAAGCTAATTGGAATTGATTAAAGAGACCCTTACTAGCGACAAAACAGGACAAGGACGAGAGTACAGATTCTTGCATAACACACATAAGGGCTCATCTATACAAACTTGCATAGCCACATAAACATATGCGTTATGCAACTCTGTGCTTTCATCCTAAGATGGGATTACTTGATGGAGATTACTACTTGACGTAGATTATTACTTGATGTAGCAACTTTGTCGTAAAATAGCATTTATACGTCATCTAACATCAATAGTTGTAACATATTATCTCTACTGAAGAAAATCACGTCATAAAGTTACATAAAAAATATATGTAATTAAAATAAGTAAATTACATAACGGAATGTTCCAAATCAGTACGTAATTTTTTAAAATCACGTAACTTAAAAACCCATACGATGTTATGTTTTTCTTTCATTTCTATAGCATTTAATCATTTAAAATTCGATAACTATAAAATCATATGATAGATGAAATTATTTCTAATATCGTGATATTTTAAAAAATCAGATTTAAAAAAATCACTTATTGATTCGGAACAATCCATTATATAATTTTGTTATGTAACTGTGTTACGTGAATTTTTTCAATAGGGATAACTTCAGCGTAAACTCGACCGTGTAAACATAGTCTTTGACTTATTGTTATGACACCTGCACACAGAACGCGGTAACATTTGCCACGCGGCGGAAATTGGCGCGAGAGTCAATCAGTTTATCGCTTTTCCATAAAAACGAAAGAATGATTGGTTACTGCGCTAATTATGGCTTAATCCCATAGACAGTCGACGCGGTAACGCACATATTAGATCTAAAATATAATTTAATAGATCTAAAAATATAATCCAATCTACACAGAACGTTTATTGAAGCGCTGACTTCTGCTAAACACAGTCAAAGTTAATGTTAATACTATAGGTTTGTTTTTTATTACTATGTACTGAACTACGCCCGAATTTTCTTTCCCGCTTTGGCTAACAATAAGTATTAAGTATATAATTTATTATACTTTATTTTAAATACAAAAATAATATATATTATAATAGTTTAGTTATAAAAAATATATCTAATATCATGTTGCTTTAAAGGTATTTTAATTTTTTCTACAATCGTGTCTTGTTTTCTTTATTTAGGCAGGTTCTTTACTTAAGAAACCGCATTTAAAAGATTGCGGATGGTCTCAAACGATAATCAAAAGATAGATCACAAACGAAATCCTTCAAACAAACATTACTTTGTTTTGCGGCAGTCGTAATGTTGCGGACATCTCGATGACGTCGGTCCTGGATAAATAAGCACCCTCTTTGTATTTCTCCTCTAATACTTGCAACTGAGACGAGGAGAATGGGATGCGGGGATGATCGCCTGCTTGTCGCTTGATTCGTTTCTCAGTGAGAGACCTTCTGGGTAGTCTCGGAGGTCTGTATCGAGTGTACTGAAGCCACGTGAGATCGGTCCACCGTGTAGTGCTCTCGCCGACGCGGTCACCACTTCGCCGTTGCTCCGTGATTCCGTCGCGTGACGCGTCGCGCTTTTTCGGCTCGCTCGCGCGTTCCGACGTCCTATCCTCGGCCTTCGTTCCTCCCCGGGACTCGCACTCCGGAGACACGTGCTGTTTTCGCGCGTCGACGTCGGCGCCCGGGAGTTCCTCCGCGAGTATACGGGCTATGCTGAAGTCCGTGTTTCTTGAAGTCCACGAGCCTCGTGCTTCGCTCGTCATCCCGAGAGTCTCACTAAATCCTCCAAAGGACGAACCCTTCGCTATATATATATACATACATACGTATTTTGGGGTACGTTCGAGTGGCCAAACGCATACGCTCGGACCCCGTTGGGGCACGTACCCCTCTTCTTCTTCTTCTTTTTTTTTTTTTGCGAAGCGCATCCTCTTTGCGGGCAGATCCAAATTAAACGCATAGTTGCACCGCATGATCGTTATCGCGCTGCTCGCACGACGGGGGCCACGCTTCTGTGTACCTGTCCCATTGTTGCGGCATGCTCTTATACCAGTGTATTATCTGCAATCTGACCACATCTTCTGGATACTTCCCCGGTAATAACAATGTAATTGATACTCTGTAGCAAGGGAAACGGATCGCTGATGTAGAGTAGGGAACGAATCGGGGGATCAGGAGCCCTGATTTCTATAGGGCAGATGTCCTGACGCACTGAGGCCTGTATAATTAAAAAGCCACAGGGGTCATCTTAATCCGGTAATATATCCGTCTCATTGATGTAAATATTGAACGGCGTGCGGGAAACATGGCCCGGGTATATTGTTACACTGCACAAGCGATCTCTCTCTTTCTTTCTATCTATATCTAGTGCTCTTATGTCAGATGATACACGAGTGGATCGAGAAACC